TCCATATGGGTGATGAAAGACTATGGTGTTGTGGAATCCTGGACGAAGCAATATAATGTTGACTTTCAGGGAGGTTTAACGTTGGTGTTTGGTTTTAGGGAGAGTGGCGAATTGCTTATGGGGACTAGAGGTGGAGATATGGTTTCGTATCAGCCTGAGAGCAAGCGCATTGAGAAACATGGAATGCGTGGTGTCAAAGGCTCATTTTATGCCAGTCCCTATGTGGAGAGCCTTGTTTTGCTCGATGGATCAAATGGGCACTTGCAAGGTCAAGTGAACACTGATCCTGTTTTGCCTAAAGTTACAAATGAGGAAGAAGTCGATGAGAGCACACTCGAAATAGCCTTATCAAACCAATTGTAGACACCCCATTTTTGACCGTCCTCAAGACTTGGATGTCACCGTTGGAACACTCGGTGATCATCCGTGCTTGTGTTCGTCTCGAGTTCCCGGAGGTCTCGACTGCGCGCCTCGCCTCAGTATCTCTCGACTCGACTTTTCGGTGTCTGGTTTTGCACCAAACACTTGTGTTTTTGCCTTGAAATGTAGGGAATGGCTTGTTGGCCATTCCCACCCCCCACCGGCTGTCCCCTCACATCACCGGCCGTTTGTTGGTGCCACTGGCAGTGGTTTCTTAAAACCAATGGCCGGTCGGCACTATATTTTGCCGACCGACACTTTGTTTTGGCTGGTGACCTTTTTTGCTGGCCGGTGTGACCCTTTTGCACCCTTTAGACTTGGTGCATGCCAGCTGTGCCAGCTGGAATGCACCAACACTCCTCCCCGTGCATGAAGTGGCTGTTTTGAGCCTTTGCACCCCTTTTCCTTCTAGAAGGTTGAACCCTTTGGCCAAGCTAAGCTTGGCCAGCTGTCCTAGCTTCCTCAAGAAGCCTTGACTCCTTTGCCCCCTTTGCCCCTTTCACTTAGCTTTTTTGAGAAGCTTAAACGATTTCCCTTTGCCTATATAAGGACCCCTCTTCTCCCTTTCTAAAGGGTTGGTGGTTTTGAAAGAAAAACCAGAGCTTATATATATATATATACATATATATATATCTGATATATACACCCTCTCTCTATATATTTTACTCTCTCTCCTCCCTTGTGTGTGTTTTGTGGCCTAAAAGTGCGTTTTTACCTTAGTTTTGCACTAAGACACACACTACCACACCTTGCTTCAAGTTTGAGAGACATTGATGGTTGATTCTTAAGGTTTTGGACTGATTTTGGTCAAAAAAGAGTGACTGGACCAACTGTTTTTGAAGTGTTCTTCAAGGGTGAGTTTCTTGCTTTATTTTCCCCAATCTTGCATTGGATTTTGACCTATCTTGCATATTGATTTGAGTTTGGGTATAACATAAAAAAGTCTTATATTTTTCTGCTTAAGAACTTTCATTAAGGGTGTTTTGGCATTGGGGGTCGAAATCCCCCTCTTAGGTCTCTTTTGGCCCCTTTTGGTGTCTTTTTCTTTAAGCCTTATTTACTTTGTTGTGTTAACCTTCTCACCACTAAAATCTAGTGGATTTTCAGTGGTGAAGAAGATGGTTTGAAGTCTTGTATAGGGGAGGGAATAGGTGCTTGAGTGTATGATTTAAGTTGTTCAAATTATAAAATTATCTTTTTTTCCCTCTCAATTTAGGTTTTAATAGTTACTGATTTGTACAATTGTCTCCAATTGGACCACATGAATAAAAATAAAAATTAGAAACTAAATAGAGGAAATAAAGAAAAGGTTGATAGTTTAGGGAATACGAGTGAAATTAACCCTTCAAAAACAAAAACAAAAACAAAAATAAAAACAAAAAAAGAAAGAGAGAGGAAAGAAACAGAGCATGAGACTAACCAACTTGATATAAATGTTGTAAGATTGAAGACAGCTCAGCCAATTGAGATGGAAGTCACGTGCTGGACTTTGTAGAAGTCCTCTCCTCCTTCTCTAACCCTGTCTTTGAGTGCTTCACCTCCGTAATCATTTCAGTCCCTAAACCATGCTTGTATACTTGCATTCATCGCTCCTCTCATGCTTTGAAGTTGTACCCTCTTATGCCTTGAAACGTGCATTGTGTATGCCTAGGTGTTTGTTTCATTTGGGATGCCATATGTGTGGGTTTTGGAGCTCTTTTTGTACGCTAAAATTTTGTTTTTGGTTGTATAGTTCATGCCATGCTTGTTTGGGTTAGTGGTAGTGGAGTGCCCTGTTGTTATGCCTTAGCCTTGGGCCCCTTTTGACTTGCATGCTTTTAGTGCATTTTGTCCATCACTTGAGACACTTTTAGCCACTGTTTTGGGGGGTGTTTGAGGCCTCCCATTTCAGTCTAAGTCCCTTCTCGGACATGGTTGTATGCGTGTCTTGTTGCCTCTAATCGCATGCTTGCATTGTACCATATTAGCATTGCATGATGAGTTGCATTGTAGCATTGCGTGCTTGCCATGATATGTTGCATTACATTTGGCATGCTTTGCATTTTAGTGATACGTTGCATTTTCGAGCCATGTTTGCATAACATGCATTGCATTGCTTGGTTTGGGGTGTCAAACCAAGTGTGAGGGGTGGGGGAAGTGTTCATACTACAAGTGATGTAACGCGTCTCAACTCTCGGTCACCGAGGCCCTTGACTTTGGCATGATAGGGTTTTGATATTCATTTATATGTTGCATGCATTTTCATTGAATTGCAACCTTGGCTCCTTAGGTCATCACGCATCAAAATGCATGATTGATGGCCCGAGGGTCGAGGGTCATGCTCCCTTGAGTCCCTTGCATGATAGGGAGTGTGCTCGCGCATACATTTGTTTGAAATTCCATGCCATACACTGTCTGTCCTTGTTGCTGTCAAAAACCAGTTTCTGCAGGGAGTTTTTGCCGACCGGCACTTTAGAGTGCCGACCGGCCATGGATTGGTGGCCGATAATATGAAACCCCAGCCGATGGGTAAGTTCCATGGCCAGTGTGTATTCTCTTCAGCCGATGGTGTCCTACAGGGTTCAGGGAACCTGTCCCAGGATTTTGGCAGTTTTCAAAGAAGCAGGGCAGTGTAAACAGAGGCAGCAGTGGTATGGTACGGGCTTTCGGGGCAAGATAAATCCGAGCATGCATCACTCACGCATCCCGAGGCGGGGGCTGCGACCATCTTCTCTTTGCATTTAATTTGCTAAATTAGAAATTTTGTAATAATTAATTTAGTATTATTTATTCGGACTGTAATATTTATTTGGACCCTCCGAGTGAGGGCAATTGTGTAATAAGTGTGGGTGCGTATGTGCATATCTTCCAACCCCCATGTCTTTCTCCCTTTTATTTACCCGCTTATGATGGTAGACTAGGACATATTTAAATTAGCATACCTTATGCTATGCATGCATGAATCCACACATTTGTCTTAGATGCATCGGGCTCGGCGCATCACTCTAACTGCGTTTGTATTTTAATTTCAAATTGAATACGTGTTAGTTGTAGCATTTCACATGTCATTGTAAATTAGCCGAGCCTATCTTAGTTGCATTTTGCATGTGCTGCATTAGCCATCTTAACATGAACTAGGATCATGCATATGATTACTAACTAGTTTCTGTTTTGGCTTGGAGTACTCTGTAAGTTCTTTTGCTTTAGCATCCTTGCATGCGTGTGAGTGTTGCCATGATAGCATGATTACCGTGAGGCTAGCTGCTTATGTGATATAACTGCTTGAATGCCTGTGGGTGAAGGTTGGATTGTCTGAGTTGGAATAGCTCATTGAAATCCGTGTTTCAGCCTACTTGTGAGTAGCAAATTCCAAAACATCTTTCAAAAGAAACGAATATGCAATGCTTATTTCCAAATTAGGCAATCTAGTCTATACTTTTGTGTTGTGCGCATAACATAGTAATTCTAGGCTAATAATCGGGATAAGAACACATAACGTTTTCAAAAACGGATATCACGGTTAGTAGAGGCCGATCTTCGGATCGAACGAGAGGGGGTGCTCATAGCTGACCTTCCCCAATCGTACCCTAGCTCCCGAGCCGAGGAAACTTTGGTGATGACGGACACGTGGCCTTTGGCACCGAGTCAGGGTTTCCTAAATCCCCCCTTAAAAAATATTTAGTTGGCGACTCTGTATCTGGCAAAGCAGTCCATGTTTGGCACTTCTTTTCTAAAAATCTTTTTTCTCAAAACGATTTGCCAGATTTGGACTCTTTGGTTCAGATTAAGAACCGTGACACAAATCGAGTCCGAACTGTAGCGGGGTCCCTCGCGGACGTGTTATAGCCATCTCTTCTTTAATACACTTACATTAGGGGTCAATCTCCTGAGCTAAATGAATCCGTTCTCTCAAGGTTGGCTAAACTGTTAATTGACTACAATAAGCCCTATCATCTGGCATAACAATCATAAGCCTCAAATGTCTCATGTCTTCCACTGAACAACTCTCAATAGACAAAGCAGCTACATCTCCAACTGCGACCTTCCTACTCAAGGCATCTGCCACCACATTTGCCTTCCCCGGATGATACAAAATATTCACATCGTAATCTTTTAGTAACTCAAGCAATCTTCTTTGCCTCAAATTAGCTCCTTTTGTGTGAAAATATACTTCAAACTCTTATGATCAGTGTAAATCTCACATGACTCTCCATACAAATAATGCCGCCAGATCTTGAGAGCGAAAATCACTGCTGCTAACTCCAAGTTGTGCGTAGGATAATTTCTCGAATGTACTTTCAACTGTTATGACGCATAAGCAATCACCTTTCCATGCTGGATGAGCACACATCCTAAACCCTGTCGTGAAGCATCACTATAAATCACAAAGCCACCATCGTCTGTAGGTAAGGCAAGGATTGGAGCTGATGTCAATCTCTGTTTAAACTCTTGGAAGCTACGCTCACAATCATCATGTCACGCCCCAAACTCGCCCCTAAAAGTTCGGGCATGACCCATACAGAAACGGACACTTAACCTGCTATACGTAATATATGGGGCCTTGGCGGAAGCACTAAAATTTAACATAATAACAAACTCCATTGAGCTACCTCTAACATGCCAGGATCACATGCATCATATACATTATAATAACCAGTCACAGGCCAAAATTATACTGTGAGCATCAGTCATATAGATATACATATACAGCCCCAGCCCTAAGATTGGGCATATGCAAAAACATTGAAGTCATGTACATTTAACCTTAAATGAGTAATCAAAAAAAAACATGACAATGTCTTAACAAAGCTTCACAAAACTGAGTGATCTCGCTTAGTGCCTGGACTCGTAAAGGTTGACAAAAGGGGACGAACGTCCTGGTTGGTTACCTACAGGAACAGACATACGGAGGGTGAGCCAAGCTCAGTGAATAGTAATACATAAATAAAATACTGCTTAACTTGAAACATTGTATAATAGAAATACACATGGATTCGTAACATCTCAATATTTATTGAACCATAAATTGTGTCTAATATGCTTTGGAAATAAGTGAGGATAGACATACGAACTAAATGCAACTTTTCAAATGTTCCTGAAAATGGGTCTCCGCTCGAGCGGACCATGCAATTTCTGAAATTCTACAATGCCAAGTAAAGTTCCAACCTGGTATTCAAAGCTTCAAACATGTACTTTTGTATACTAATGCAGCATTCACAATGCGAGTCTGAATCTGTTCTTATTCATTATAGACTTAGATCTTATCATGAAACATATTGGCTTGAATATAATGGTTTGGATTAATATCCTTGTATAATGTGGCACAAACCCTTAATCATGGTGGCACGAAGCCCATTAACATAGTGGCGCAAGGCCCTTAGATACTTACCAAGCTTCAAAACATATACTTACTAAGCTTCAAAACACATACTTACTAAGCTTCAGAACATATACCTATCAATCTTTAAATATATGCTTACCAAACTTTAAAACATATACTTATCAATCTTTAAAATATATGCTTATCAAACTTTAAAACATATACTTAAGCATACAATGCAAAGTCCACATGATTGTCTGAGTCTGTTTCACTTTATAGGCCCTTTCTTGAAACATATCAGCTTGAACATAATGGTTGGCTTAAAGCCCTTGAATGGTGTGGCATAAGCCCTTAAACATTGGCATAAAGCCCTTGGAAGGTGGCATCAAGCCCTTGAAAGGTGGCATAAAGCCCTTAAACATTGGCATAAAGCCCTTGGAAATTTGGCATTAAGAATGCCCTTGTAAATTGGCATTAAGAATGCCCTTGTAAATTCTTGTATGAACTCAAGAGGTGTCTCACACGGATTCTAGAGGTGGCTCACGTCGTAGCACTTAGTTCCGTGTAGCACTTTGTTTCATATCATAACAACTTATATTGAATAGCCATAGGCCCAGAGTCTTATAGAATGAAGGTATTTTATCTTTCCCATTTCTTTCTTTACATACTTGGAACATCCTTGAACATTAACATACATACTTGAAACATTAACATAGTTGCATACTTGAAACATTAACATGGTTGCGTAAACGAAATGCTAATGAAAATCATTAGCCATATGTAAAGCAGATATTGATACTACTACTCACAGTGCTATAACGGAGTGCTTGTCCTTCTCAGGTTATGCCCTACACATGTAAACAACTTATACATTAAGGGCATCAAACACAAATTCCAGAAATACTAGAGGGTTAAGCACGTAAAACAAAGCAAACAATATTTTGCAGCATGAAGTTTCAAACCTACTTCTCAAACACAATATATATATATATATATAAAAAAAGATTACTAGTCTTACAAAATACATTATGGAATTTATACCCATTCCTCTTCTATTCAAAGAAAGAAAGGATTTTTATGAACATTTCCATGTTCCCCAAAACTCCTTAAATTTCTAGTGTTTCCACTAAAAACCAAACATTTCCTCATCCCCATAAGAAATCCTATTAAATCATTCTCTTGATTTAATAATTAAGCAAGCCCACAAATATTTAGTAAAATGATTTGAGATTAACCCATTCTTGAAAACTTCACATTTTAGGCCACAAAAATTAATATCAACATAGTCAATACCATCCCACATAATCATTACAATTCAACATATCTCAAAAGGAATTCTTAAATTCCATTTCAACATTCCATAATCGAATTTATATCATCCACATTATCAATAAATCTTTTCCCCCAATTTCCCTTTTATTAAAACATAATTTACAATGCATTTAACAAAGTTCAATCGCAAAATTTAAACATAATTTTCAAACATAACCAAATTCAAATTAAATTTGAACACATCTAATTCAACCTACCACTTTCATGATTCAACTATCAATTTGGGCCAAATCATGGATTATCATCAAAAATCCGTTTTAGGTCATTCTTGTGCCCAAATTGAAGCCCCGAAAATAAGCTTTCCAATGGTTCTAACCTCACATCCAAATTCCAAGTGTGGAACAAGAAACGGGCAAAAGAGTAACGGTTGGTCGTAAATGAATTATTCAAATTAAAGTTTTTGATCCAATCTTACTTTACCATCATATTACCACCACAATCAATAGCCCAAAATAAAATAGGGAGGTTCCAAATACACTAATAAAAATGCCACAGATATAGATCACTTTTCACAGAAAGCAAGTAAATGCACAGAATAACAGATCGAAAATATACTAGAAACAGATATGAGGGTCGGGTTATTACACATCATTCCACTCAAACTTTTCCCCTTTCCTGGTGAGATTGATAAGTGGCAAAGCAATACGGGAGAATCCATCCACAAACCGTCAGTAATATCCAGCAAGCCGTAGAAAGCTGCGTACCTCTATCACAGAAGTAGGTCGCGGCCAATCAACAATTGCTGCCACCTTCGAGCTATCCACAGATACCCCGTCTTTACTCACCACACGACCCAAAAAGGATACACTACTCAACTAAAATTCACACTTCTTAAATTTACATATAGTCTCTTCTCCCTAAGGATTTGTAGTCCTACCCTCAAATTACTCCTCGAATAAATTAGAATGTCATCAATAAACACTACCTGTAGACGTCCCCGAACGTCCTGGGAGGATGAATCCCGTTTCGTTCGTTTGTGGGCTCGCTACAGTTTGGACTCAAATTGTCACGATTCTTAATCTGAACCAAAGAGTCCAAATCCGGCAAATCGTTTTGGAAAACAGATTTTTAGAAAGAAGTGCCAAACATGGACTGCTTTGCCAGATACAGAGTCGCCACCTAAATATTTTTTATGGAGGAATTTAGGAAATCCTGACTCGTTTGCCTAAGGCCACGTGTCCGTCATCACCAAAGTTGCCTCGGCTCGGGAACTTGGGTACGATTGGGGAAGGTCAGGTATGAGCACCCCCTCTCGCCCGATCCGAAGATCGGCCTCTACTAACCATGATATCTTGTTTTGTAAACATTATGCGTTCTTATACCGGTTATTAGCCTAGAATTACTATGTGATGCGTATAGCAAAACAAGTATAGTCTAAATTGCCTAAGTCGGAACAAAGTATCGCATTTCCGTTTGTTTGGAAAATGGTTTGAATTTCGCTACTCGCGAGTAGGCTAAAATACGGATTTCGATGAATTATCCCAATTTAAACAATCCAACCTTCACCCACAGGCATTCATGCAGTTATATCACATAAGCATATAGCCACATGGTAAGCATGCTATCATGTTAACATTCACACTCATGCGAGATGCTAAAGCATAAATACTTACATCGTACTCCATGCCAAAACAATGAACTAGTTAGCAATCATATGCATGATCCTAATCCATGTTAAGGTGGCTAGTGTATCTTATACAAAATGTCACTAGAATAGGCTCAGCTAATCTATGAATGGCATGTGAGATGCGACAGATAACATATATTCAAGTTTGATTTGAAATACTATGCAGTTAGTATGACGCGCCGAGCCCGGTGCTACCATCAACTATTTTGGGATGGATGCAAACATGCAAGCATAAGTATGCTAATTAAAATATGTTCCTAGTCTACCATCATAAGCGGGTAAATAAAGGGAGAAAGACATGGGTTGGAAGAATGCCACATACGCACGCCACACTTATACAAATTTGCCTCGCCGAGGAATAATACAGATTTATAACCTATAAGCTAATTATAAATATTACAGACAATTAACTAGTTAAGCAAATTAACTAAGCTAATTAAGCAGTAAAAGTAGCCTCGGGAAGAGGGCCCAATGCATGCGCGCTCGGTTCTGCTCGAAAACCCACCACCATGCACAAGTTTGCCTCTGTTTCCCCTTCTCTGCTCCTCTGAAAATTGCATAACCCCCAAGGTATGCTCCATGGACACTGTGGATCACCACCGACCAAGTGGAAACCCCATCGACCATGTCCGGATGGTCATCGACCATTTGTTGAGCTCTCGGCCATCAATAATTGGTCGGTCGGCACTCCATATAGTCGACCAACCAAGTCTTCCTGCAGAACCTGTTTTGACAGCAGCAGAGGGCAAAACAAGGCATGGCAATGTATTTCAAGCAAATGTGTGCACCAACACATCCCTTATCATGTTTGTGACTCAAAGGGGTATGTTCCTTGATTCTCGGACCACCAATCGCACATTTCAATGCGTGTTGGCCCAAGGAACCAAGTTGTGCATTTTGATTTCAAATGAAATGCAATGCATAGAAACATACCAAGGGGCTTTCAACCTCTATCATGGCTTGATCAAGAGGTGAAAGATGCATGCAATGATATGCAACCTAGACATGTGAGCTAAGTGTGCAACATGAGATGCAAACAAGTAAGCATGCAATAGGCGCACAACCTAAGCAAATAAGTATGCAAGACATGGAATAACGATGCAAGCTAATCAAGCATGCATATGCAAGCTTAACCATGCAAGCATGCAAGGTGCAACATGGACAACATGTTAGGCAACTTGGCCAATAGAATGCGTGCCAAATGCAAAGCAATTGAAGCATGCAACACATGCAATAGGCTAAGTATATGACAACACACAAGGTGAGCATGCGACAACATGCAAACAATGGACTTATACCAATTTGGGCAGCCCTATACTAGGCCCAAAACAGTGGCCAACATACTAAGGACTGAGAGGCAAAACACACACAAACATGCACATGTTAAGGCCTAAACACTTAAGTATATGGAGACAACTTTTAAGCACACTTAAAAGAGGATAACATGGACATATGGCATACATTATAAGCTCTGAAATCATGTTATAAAATGATGCCAAATCAATCTAAACAAGGCAATCAAAGTATGCAAACAAATCCAAGGTCTAAGGCTCACCAAAGGGGTATTGAACTACCCTTAACAAAACCAAAGATGGCATGAATTGAACAACTAAAATCAGAGTTTTAGAATGTTAAAACAAACCCAAAAACACAATGACATGGCATACATGAAGGCACAAACATGGAGCATGAAACACCAACCCTTTAAGGCCTTAAAGGAACACCAAATGCAAGCATACAAACACACCACAAGGACTGAAATGGCATGGGAAGTGGTTCCAAACCACTGAAAAAAAGCAAGGATGGCATGCTAGAGGGGTTAATGCTTAGGGCATACAAGAGAGGTTGCATGGTAGCTATACAAAGCAAAGCATGGACTACTCGAATGACCAAAAACAGACCTTTAGCACATGAAAACAAGCACAAAAGCTTCACAAAGCTTGGTCAAAAACATGCTAGAAGAAGGCTCAAAGCACAAAGCATGTTAAGGCTAAAACATGGCATTACAAGACATGTATGCAAGGCATGCATGGCATGTCTAAACCATGTAAAAATAGAGGTAAAACATGGCAAAATACTACCAAATACCTACTGAAACATGGCCAACATGAGTTCAAAAATGGTGCTCACACATGAGGCTTAAATGGCATATATTAAAGACAACAAGAAGAGGGGATGACCCTCTCCTTCTTAGAACCTTAAACCACTATCCTCACCACTGAAATCTTGAGGGATTTCAGTGGTGAGGAGGCCCAAACAAG